TGAATAAATATAAAAGAGATGCATGCTTAAAGCAATAAATGTCAGAGTTTATCATATATTAGAATCAATTTTTAAAAATAGGAGCTTGTTAAATAAATAAATTTGCATTGCAATTGTAGAAATGTATATATCTAAAAACAAATATTTTTAGTTTTTAGTCTATCAATAATCCCAAGAGTTAAAGATCTTTAGCTCAGTTGAGGTAGATTTTTGAATATTTGGTATATTTAATTTGCATTCCTGAATCTCTGTGGAGACAGCATAATTCTGTAACACTGTTTATAGACCATATATTCATTTAAAAAAAAAAGAAAAGAAATAAAAAACAAAGTGAAAACATCCAGAAAGTGTTATTAGATGATATTATTAGCATGGGATAAAACTGTCATCGTCATAAATAAAATAGCTGCATAAAAGAAACAGCCTTTATCTTATACCTGACCATACTGAAATGTCTTCTCCTTTTTTATTTTCTATGAAAAATAGAATCCTACATTTACAAAAAAAATATTCATGCTTTATAATTTTTCTACCTCAGAAGCATTTAAATGATATATAGGGCACCAAATATATGGAATACATCTATATTAAAGGTTAGTAATTGTTTTTACTTTTATAGATAGTAGAGGAAATGATACTTAACAGGTCTTTTATAGCATAATTCTGTATTCCAGTAAAAAGCATTCTAGTTTAGAACCACATATAATTACTGCAGTTCATTAAAAATCATAACTAAAGTTGTAGCTGGTAGTATTCATTGGAACTTAATTTTTGGAGGAATTTGAAAGATATTACCTGTCTTAATCATCCTATAATGTATTTTTTTTAAGATTTTTTTTTTTAATGTATACAAGAACTGTGGTACAGGCCAGATGTGTGTGGAGTGAGAGGATTCACCAGAGACAAAGCAAGGAGCAGAACAGGCAGACAGACTGAAATACACAGCTGAGGGGAGCAGCAGGCGAGGCAGGAGAGGTCTGATGTGCCATGTGGGTAGCTCTCTGGCTGGGGATCAAACTGGTGCTGCAGTGGCTGCAGATGGCTTCATAGCTTGCATCTTAACCCCTTGCGCCACCAGGGATGCCCTATGATGAAAGTATTAATAGTCTAATTCTGTTGATGGAAAACAGTGAGTTTTTAAATATTGAGCAAATTCTGTTGGAGTTAAAAACTACAGTATATGCACCTATCCTTCCAAGAATGAGATTGTTTATAGTGAATTTCAAAATATCTTCTGAAATTCCATGTCATCTTTGTAGAATAATTTTTTGAAGTATAAACTGATGTAACCACTTAAAAATACTACCCTGGAAGTCTATGGGTATTTTGGTGGAGGATGTGATGTGGTAATAACACCTGAAGAGGGAGATCCTACACCTCTAAATCAGAAAATTTGTAAACCAGTGTTACTGCAATTAAAAAAAATCTGAAAAAATGCAAATAAAATACAATTAAAGAAATAGATATGCTAGCATTTTAGTAGTATTTATTAAATACTACTATTGTTAAATTTTAGATTTTTTTTCTTTTTTCAAGACCAAAAGACTTACAGAAATAAAATGTTTTGTTAAAAACATCAAAGCGTTATTAAGGAAATGAATGCATAAATTCTTACGGTGTCTTCTGTGATTGGTGGTGCCTGTGGACTTGCAGTAATTCCAAGCTGTGGTATAGAATAGTGAGGCACTCACTGTGAATTCTCACTGTATTTTCTCTAAAGAAAGTTCATAACTTGCAATACCTTTTGGGTTTGTCTGTAAGTAGAGATATCACATGAAATTTCAGTGGCAATATTTGAGATTAAAATGAAAAGAGAAATAGTTTGAAATTAACTTTAAAAATAGTTCCTGTTATGAATATTTTATGGAAAGCAGTTCCACCAATTAGCTCCTAGGTGTGCAGAGACCTGATAACTGGGTGTTGCCTGAGGCATATATGACATTAGAAAAATAAATCAGCTCTGAAGAAATCAGAGGATTGGTTTAAACATGAACATAGATTAAGTCACATGGAAATGAAAAGACTGAAGTATGGAATTCTTTGAGAATTTGCCAGGAGATTATAAACTCAATTCTCAGTTGCTCAGTCTCTGTAATTACTTAGAAGTATGTGTCTGAGAAGACTTAGAGCCAGATGTTGATCTTTTATTTTCACCCTATGGATTCTGTCCTCTCTTTGAATTTATTACTGGTTCTTTCAAAGTAAATGTGCACTGGGGTTTAGATTAGAGATGAAAACCTGGCACATAATTTTATGTTTGTGGATCTTGGTATTAGAGGATTTGACAAATGACTGTTCCCTATTAGAATCTTCACAAATTTTGCAGCACTGTTTGTCAATTGTACCAATAACTAAAATATTAATTTTTACATTCACCTACAAAAGCATTCTATGACCAGGTAAATATTTTAGAAACTTATATAACCAACATAATTTTTTTTTTTTATTTCAAACCTAAAAATGAGTGAGTATATGAGCTTTGGATCTTTTCTTTGACATTGCATTGAAATATCATATTATATATTTCAATTTTATGTAAAATTTGTTAGAATACCTGTTTTCTGAAAATATTAATTTGACTTTCCTTTCATCTTATTTTCTACCACCTTATGTCAGCAAATTATAATTCAATTTTCTTTATAATTAACATACTGTTCTCTCAAATACATCATGTTGCCAACTCCCAGGAATATAATTTTCTATGATTTAATATAAATAACATTCTAAGGTACAACTACCATAAAAAAAAAAACTTTGTTTAGTTAGTAATATTGAAAAAGAACATTATAATAAAAGGAGGTATAAACTATAAGGAAGATTAAATCTACCACAAATATTTTTGTGAATCACTTATTTATTATATAGCTACTTACAAAACTGTGCCAGGTACAATTTAGTGCATTAGAGCTTGGATACTGCTTGAGAAAAATCAGACTAAGTCCCTACTCTGATTTCTTGAAGCCTAATGGAAGAAAAGCAATAGTCCAATATTCATGTAAATATGTAACTCTCTACTCTGTGTGTGTTGAAGAGAAGAACCACAGAAAAATATATGATGGTATAATTTAAATTTATTTAATCTAATATGTAGATCAAGGTATTTTTTTTCGAGATAAAATGGCATTTGTGTGTAAATCAAACAAGCTTGTTGAGGAAGATATTCATGTGAGCTTATGCAAAAATGAGATAGGAATAGAAAATAAATGGAAGATTACATTAATAGATAAAAAATGTATGAAACAAATGAGAAATAATATTCTAGAGACTCATAGAGTCTAACTCAAGTAGGACATAAATCATAATGAAGATTTAGATCTTTACCTGAATAGCAATGGAAACCAAGGAAATGTTTCCAGAAGAGGTTTAAATAAAATACAGAAAGACCTGTCTTCTGGACCCTTCATCAGACTCCAAGGTCTTCTTTTCTTGTCTCATATATAACATTTTGATTTACCTGTAATTACTCATTATGAGTTAGGTTTATATCTGCTAAGAGTATCCCTTATTCTTTTTTTTTTTTTTAAGATTTATATATTTATGCATACAAGAGCTAGGGCACAGGTCAGAGATGCGGGGGGTAGGGGTCATGAGAGGATTCACCAGAGACAGAGTGGGGAACAGAACAGGCAGACTGACTGAAATACACTGCTGAGGGGAGCAGTGGACGAGACAGGAGAGGTCTGCCTCAACATGTGGGTTTCTCCCTGGTGGCCAGGGATCGAACTCATGCAGCAGAGGCTGTGGATTGTTTCACAGTGCGGTGCTTAACCCCTTGCACCACCAGGGAGGCCCATCCCTTAATCTTAATAGCAAATAAAGTATTCAGTTTTTTCTTAGAATGGAAGTCACAAATAGCTAGGAGGAGGCAAATCTTTAAATTCAATTTACAACAAACCATGACTAAGTAATAATCTCCTAAAACTTATCATATTTGCCCCACCACACTTAAAAAATTGAATTTTGGAAAGAAATATTTCATGTGTACAGATTGATTTATAATATTAAAAACTGGGTTGTGATTATTATCACATTTAATTCTCTTCCCCACAAGCAGAAGTCAAGGTGATTCCAGTATTAGCATTTATGCTCCTGAATGAAAAAATTTAAGCAAGTAGGGCATGGTGATCAAGATTGTGACTTTTAAGCTTGACAATTTGGAACAAAAACAGTTTGGCCATATCCAGACAACTTATATTTTCCCTAACCATAAAATATATGTATTATTCTCATTTTTGAAATGAGGAAAATACATTTGGAAAGTTTAAATTGTTTCCACAAATCATGGTATTACAACATTACATATATATATATATATATATATATATATATACACACACACACACACACACAATTATTTGATTATATACATTACATATATATTGTATAATTATTTGATTATTGTTACACACACACATATATATACATAAGATAATTGAATATTTTACCTGTAAAACAATCATAACTATAACATCTTAAGTACTTTCTGGTTCCCATACTTAGTAACAAGTTCAAAACCACTTTTGCTCCATGTATATAGATTCACTTGTATCATTACAATCCCATAAAGAGAAGAGAAAAAGAGTAGACCTGATTGATCATTCAAAGCGATGATTCCAAATCTGTGCCTAATGTGGTAAAAGATATAAATACAATAAATATTTAGAAAGCAGATAAATCTCAAATAAAATGAAACCAAAGTAACTCCAAATAAGATATACACACCTAAAAAAACACCAAGACATATCAAAATGAAACTTTTGAAAAGTGAAGGCAAAATAAATCTTAAAATAGTCAGATTCATATGACAATGGGTTCTCATCTGAATCATGATCATTAGAGGAACTAGCACAGTATTTTTCAAGGGCTACAAGAAGATAGCTAGTAACTGAATTTTATATCCAGTGAAAGTGTCATTCAGGAATAAAGAGGAAATGAAGATATTCTTTTTGTCTTTGTCACTAAATAATTTGTGGTAGCAGAGCTTGAGTGCATCCTCTAAGGGCCGGGAGGACGTTCGGCCTCTGTGAGCCGCAGCCTTCCCCGGGAGAGGTTGTGATTTCGCCATCTTAGGGAGGATGTTCTCGTCCGTGGCGCACCTGGCGCGGGCGAACCCCTTCAACGCGCCCCACTTGCAGCTGGTGCAGGACGGCCTCGCGGGCTCGCGCAGCCCCGGCCCGGACGCGCTTCCCAGCCAGCCCCGCCGCTCCCGCACCCTGGCGGCCGCCGCGGTGGAAGAATACAGTTGTGAATATGGCTCCATGAAGTTTTATGCACTGTGTGGCTTTGGTGGGGTCTTAAGTTGTGGTCTGACACACACTGCTGTCGTCCCCCTGGATTTAGTGAAATGCCGTATGCAGGTGGACCCCCAGAAGTACAAAGGCATATTTAATGGATTCTCAGTTACACTTAAAGAGGATGGTGTTCGTGGTTTGGCTAAAGGATGGGCTCCGACTTTCATTGGCTACTCCATGCAGGGGCTCTGCAAATTTGGTTTTTATGAAGTCTTCAAAGTCTTGTATAGCAACCTACTTGGAGAGGAGAACACCTATCTCTGGCGCACATCCCTGTATTTGGCTTCCTCTGCCAGTGCTGAATTCTTTGCTGACATTGCCCTGGCTCCCATGGAAGCTGCTAAAGTTAGGATTCAAACCCAACCAGGTTATGCCAACACTTTGAGGGATGCAGTTCCCAAAATGTATAGGGAAGAAGGTTTAAATGCATTCTATAAGGGGGTTGCCCCTCTCTGGATGAGACAGATCCCATACACCATGATGAAGTTTGCCTGCTTTGAACGTACTGTTGAGGCATTGTACAAGTTTGTGGTCCCCAAGCCCAGAAGTGAATGTTCGAAGGGAGAACAGCTGGTTGTAACATTTGTGGCTGGTTACATAGCTGGAGTCTTCTGTGCAATTGTTTCTCACCCTGCTGATTCCGTGGTATCTGTGTTGAATAAAGAAAAAGGTAGCACTGCTTCTCAGGTCCTCCTGAGACTTGGATTTAGAGGTGTTTGGAAAGGACTCTTTGCCCGTATCATCATGATCGGCACCCTGACTGCCCTGCAGTGGTTCATCTACGACTCTGTGAAGGTCTACTTCAGGCTGCCTCGCCCTCCTCCACCTGAGATGCCAGAGTCTCTGAAGAAGAAGCTCGGGTTAACCCAGTAGATGATCAAAGCAATGTGGACTGAATCTGCTTGTTGATCAGTGTTGACAAAGTGCAAAAGGAACTTTTATATATATTTGACAGTGTAGGAAATTGTCTACTCCTGATAACATTACTGTAGTGCCCTTGCATAAGGCAAGAGTTTCAAAGTTACTATTGAAATAAACCCAACTGCTCATGAAAAAAAAAAAAAAAAAAATAGTGGGAAAGATAGTTCTCAAAAAAAGAGATAAAATAATAAATATTAGCATATCTGGAGAAAAGATAGTAAAACTAGAAAAACAGATGTGTGGTATGCAAATAAACGATCCAGCTCAAGAGATTTACAATTCATATTTGATGATAGAAGCAAAATAATGCCACATGACAAATAAGGACGTTAATTATATTTAAAAGATTCTTGTTAAAAAATATTAAACAGATCTTCATATGAGGTTAAGTTGTTACTGTTTTATTCCTACATAAGGATTTTATAAGGATGATTTCCATGGCAACTGGTATAGGTTTTCAGCAAATAATATTTATAAAGGTGGCACGTCTTTGGGTTTGTGTTTTGGGATATCCCATTAATAATACTTTTATATTTATTTTTTATTGGAATGACTTAATTTGAAGAACAAAAGTAAAGATCAGATTTAAACTAGAATAAATAGGTCTGCTCTTTTGAAATATGATACCTATACAGGCACAGTTATATTCTTGTTTACAAAATGAATATTTTAAAACTAACCAAACCAGTTATATATAATTGGTGTTTAAAGGATATTGTCTTCGGGCCTCCCCGGTGGCGCAGCGGTTGAGCGCTGGGTTGCGAAGCTGCCCGCACCTCTGCGGCGCTGGTTCGATCCCCGGCTGCTCCCCGGCCACCGGAGGAGGGTCCCACATGGCGCGCAGACCTCTCCTGCCGCCCGCTGCTCCCCTCAGCAGTGTACTTCGGTCCTTCTGCCTGCTCTGCTCCCCGCTCTGGCTCTGGTGAATTCTCTCACCCTCCGCGCTTCTGACTGTACCCAGTCCTTGTATAAATAAATAAATAAATAAATAAAAATAAAAAAAAAAAAAAAAAAAAAATAAAGGATATTGTCTTCCATTGATAAAATATATTTACTAACATTTTTCTTCACAACTATTGATTTCTTTAATGAAACCATTTTGCTTTAATTGCTTAAAGCAGTAACATGAGACTACATACTAACATTGCTATAAATTAAATATAAACTTTGAATTGTTTCTATTTTATTATACATAAGCATAATTTGATATTAAATTACTGATAATATTATTTTTAATGGTTAACCTTTCAATAAATATACTTTCCAATATGTGGCAGCTATTAAAAAAATTTGAAAACTAAATAGTAAGCAAGCAGATAATGCCTTTGATCTCAGAAAGTTTACAATAGGAAGGCATTTTATATACAATGTTACAGGGTAATTTCACTGGAGTGTAATTTTGGCTTTTAATATAAAAACAGACAACAAAGATTTGGGACAACAAAAATGTGTGTAGAGATACATACATTTGAGTACATCTATGAATCTGTTAGTTTAGAGTGCTTCAATAACTTCATAAGGAAAACCCACAACTTATATAACCAGCACACTAAATGATGCCTTAGTTGAAAGAAATCCACAAATATAGAATAATTCTTTCAAATAGTTCTATATATCTTTCCTCTTTGCTCTATGTACTCTTAATAACCTATTGTTTGTCTGAACTAGCTTTATTTTTCCATATTTTCTAGACTCATTATTGAATCATCCATGGTAATCATTCCAACTACTTGGCTTATGAATTAACACAGCTTTTTCTTGATTTCTTAGGAGAGCATAGCACTTATATGAGGTGGAGCAATATAACTGACTCAATATTTCTTCCTGTAAGATCTGTAGCTTTGAGAATTCTTTTAAGCAAATCAGTGACTTTTCAAAATGGCTCTTCAGTTTGGAAGAACATTGCTACTGAATCTACTGACATCAACAAAGATGCTTAGAATACTGAATGCAAAATTATATCCTTGGAAGCCCTTTAAAATTCTAATTTGTATAGCCAAATATATCACTGCATATGTATATAAGTACATACAGAAAAAAATCATGCAATGTTAACATGAAAATCATGTAACTTTTGTCTGCCCATGGTGATTTACAAATTAATCACACAGAGTAGACAACAGTTTATTTTGTTGTGAATCTAAAAAATGGTTAAAAATAAAAAGGTGGAAGAGGGGTCAATGAGATAAAATAATGATTATAGAACTTTGATGGTGATTGAAGGAAGCACATATCCATATCCTGGTGTGAAGCTGTACTCTCAAAATTATAGTTTGGTAAAACAATGTAATTTTCTTTTAAGAGGCCCCCCTTGTAGTGCAAGGGGTTAAGACCCAACCTATGAAGCTGTCCACAGCCACTGCAGCATAAGTTCGATCCCACACTAGGGAGCAACCCACATAGCACAGCAGACCTCTCCTGACTCACCCGCTGCTCCCCTCAGCATTGTATTTCTGCTAGTCTGCCTCTTCTGTTCCCCACTCTTTCTCTGGTAAATCCTCTCACCCCCACACCTGTACCCCGGTTTTTGTATGCATAAATAAATAGATCTTTAAAAAAATCTAGAGCTGACTTAAAAAAAAAAAAACTATAACAATTAATTTGACCATATTGTTTTTGAAACCCTGGCAAAACCCAGATTTTAAGTTATAATTAAATATAGATAGACCATCCTCTAATATGAAAATTTCTGAACTTAATAATAAGGAAATGCAAAATATTAATATAATAATTACAATTGCATATGTAATTTGATAGTAATGAGAGTTGGCAAGTAAATTGTACTGGGGTATTTTAAAGGCATGTATTTGAGAACCATAACACTAAGGATATTTTTTTACAGAATGGCAGAATGTAAACATCTATCCTTGATATAGCGAGTCATCAAAATAATTTAAACTAAGTAATAATAGAATAAATAATGTTTTAGAATGTCCTGGTAGATGTGATAATGGAAACATGGATATTTCATAAAATTGTTGCAATAATTCAGGTGAAAGATGGTGAAATTCTATTTAAAAATAAATAAAGGGAAGGGAAGTAATATTGGATATGTTAAAGAAAAATATCTCCACATATATGCAGTGTTTCATTGTAAAAATATTGTTGTGGTAGATAAATTAAAAAAAATGGTTATGATTCTTAGATGTTTAAATTATATGATCATATGTATACTTGTAATCCCTCCCACATATCCCTTCCAGATAAAACATTTGTGATTGTGAATTTAGATAAATTAGTAAATATATGTACTCATGAAATGACTAGCTTACATATATGTAATTTATTTGTGAATTTAATATTTGCTGTCCACCATTTCCCACTGAGTGACTAGCTATCCTCTGCATAAGCAAAATGCAAAGTAAAATAATATCAAAGAGGATTTTAGTCATTTGTTTATTCTGTACCTTAAACCAACCTTAATTTTCTTTATGCCTTGATTCAGATAGGGGGCACATTTACTCTATAGTTCATTTGCTATTCAGTTTAATAAATTATCATGATAGATTCTGTAGGAACAAGGAAAAAGAATAGGGATAAGAAAAAGTTGGTGGAATAGGTTCTCAAAGTTGAGGAATGGATTGGAGATAGGGAATAGTTATGGAATGACTGGTTTATTCCACTGTCTATGTTTCCAGTGTTTTCTTCTTAATCAATATCAGAGATTCTTGAAATTCCAAAGCTATAAAGCCCCGAAACTGAAAATTTATTCTGATGATGTAGTTTTCCAGTCTTCCTGTGGTCAAGAACTGGGGATCACTGTATGAAAAATAATTGTGCAAATAATTTCAGTAGTGAGTTCTGCAAAACATTAGATGAAAAAAGAATAATTCTTTACAATCTCTTTCAAAGAATGGAATCAGAGGGAATGCTTCCTAACTCATTCAAATATTGATATATACATGAGGGCTCTCACACTGATATCTCCAGCTAAGATTGCTCCATTCTTACTTATGTTCACTTTTAAAAGTCTAAAAGGCACTTCTTCCCATTTAAACCATTTCTCTCTACAAACATACTCATTTTTCTGTGCTACCCATATCAGGAAATTACCCCATGGTTTATGCAATTTCCTTCATCCAAAATCTGGATTATTCTTGATTTTTTTTCTCTCCTTTCCTAACAATTCTGTTAAAATCCTGCTTATCCTATTTCATACTCTGTTGTATTTCACATTTCAGGTCTGAAACACATTGACTACCTCATTAGTGTCTCACTATCAAGTGGCACCACTCCTCCTGTGAACTATGAGGTGAAGGGTGTGTGAATTTTCTGTATTTTGAGCTGTGATGTCCATCTTCTGCACTGGACATCATAGTTTTTGATTCTGAGGCCTTCAGACTCAGACTGAATTATACCAGTTGTTTTCCTTGTTTTCCAGCAGAAGATGATTATATAACTTGGGGGCCATAACCTTGGGAGCCCTATCCTCTAATAGGTCCTCTCATATATACATATATATGTTTAAATACTCCATTGGTCTGTTTCTCTGGAGACCCCTAACTAGTATAATACCTTAACTGTGCTAACCTTCATCCAGTTCCTTCAGTTAACAAGAATACTTAAAGTTCTGGGCCAGTTTTCCTGTGCCTAAAAAGAAATCTCTAATTCTTACTGTTCTTTTATTTGTGTGTTTGCCTAAGGATGCAGACTAATTTGGATTCCTCTATCAAACACTCCTGTGGAATGCTGAAAGTCACCTTTTAATCATCACATTTATTATTTATTATATAATATGTATCTTTTCTATGAGATTGGAAGCTTCGCATTGGCAGGGCACACGTGTTGGTCTTTTTCATAATTGTATTCTAACAAAAGTGTCTGAGAATTGTGGGTATTATCTGAAAGGTAGTTAAATAAATAGTTGAATAAATTAATCAAATAATTTCACTGAGTAAAAACAGAGGTATAGATATGATCTGAAAATTTACCAAAATAGAGAATTTAAAAATATTTTTGTTACTTTGAAATTAATTTTAATGCTTAAGGACTGGGACTAATAGCTGGCAAGTTAAGAATTCACAAAATCCTGAAAAAAATAAAATTAATAGAATTTTATCAAGTTTGGTAGCACAATGTCTTTGTGATTTACATGTTTTTCAAATTGTACTTGTTCATTTTTGTTATTCAGACATTGTACCTT